CTATCTATCTATCTATCTATCTATCTATCTATCTATCTATCTATCTATCTATCTATCTATCTATCTATCTATCTATCTATCTATCTATAATATACTACTATAATAATAACTTAATTAGGTAGTCTGACTGTGCTCTCTGAAAATAAAGCTTGATTACAGCAGGAGAAGTTCCATATTTCAAGTTCCTTTAAAGTTTTAAGTACAAAGAGTCCTCCCGAGTATTTACTTCTGGGACATCAGGAGTTCAGGACACTACTGATATCTAAATATCAGAACATATACGACTTACTGATGCCGGTTTGGAGACAAACTGCTGTTTTTAATGTATTCACTTATTATCACCTATTTGTGAACTTAGGCTACCAGTGTTAATTGTTAATTAATTAAAATGTTTTGCAGTGTGAAAATTATCAGTATTTCCCATAGTTGAAGGAAGCATAGGAACTTTACAATTCTTTGTTATAAGAATTGTTGTTATTCTATCGACTTTGTCAAATATTTTAAAATTGTGATTTTTGTGCAGGTGCAGCCTTATTCATCAGAGGTTCCACTTGTTCACCACCAGGCGACAGCAGAGAGCACACAGAGCAGCACAGAGCATTATTCCTCAGCAGTTAAATCAAAAATGCCAACTAAAAGTCATCCCATAAACCTGTTTCACTACGGGTCTGAATCCAGTGCCAACTTCAAGTCACTTTCCTTGACTACAGAATCAATAGATGAGTTTAAACTTGGAAGCTGGTGCTCTGAAGGGAACTTAAACGTAGAAGAGAGCCCCAGTGAGGAATCTGATGCCCTGAGGGAAGCTTACAGGAGCTTGGGGTTAGATAGAGATCTTAAAGCGCTTCAGGAGCAACGTGACAACCTGAAGGTTGCTCTGCAGCACACACAGAGTCAGCTAAAGGAGAAAGCTGAGGAAAATGCTCAGCTGAAGTTACAACTCAGGAAGCAAGCAGAGGAACTAGAGGCCGAGACTGAGCAGAGGTCTTCAGCAGAAAAGGTATTTTACACATGGTTTAGTAGTCTTATCATTTTTATTTTCCACCAAAGACATCCAGTATATCACTGATCAAACTCTGTATCTCTGTACAGATTAACACACCCTCTACTTATGGTGGGAATGATCAACCCAGGTCATCTCCTACCCAAGATGGCAACATTCTTGCTCTTGCCCAGGATGATCTTATCCAAAGCCTGAATCAGGAAAACGAGGCATTGGCAGAGAGGATCCAGGAGCTTTTGGCTCACATTGAGCGCAAAGAGGATGACATCACAAAGCAGCAAACCCAACTGATGGAGCGTATCTCCCAGCTAGAAGAGGATCAGGTCAGGCTGGAGCAGGAGAACCGGGAACAGGGGTGTTTGATCTCAGAACTCACCAAGAAGACTGAGGATGATCTGAACACCATCATGGATCTGCAGCAGAAGTTAGTCCAAGGAGAAGAAGCTTCACAATTGATGTTCAATCAAGAAACTGACTCTACGAAAACAGGATCAGTATCTGGTAGTCAGCATAATAATCTCTGTGACTTACTAAAAAGCAGCTCACAAAAAAATCATCTTCATCTTGATTCACAAAAAGATGAAGCAGCCCAGCTGACCAGTTCAGTCCAGAACCTCAAAACAGACCAAGAAGAATTGACTAAATCCATAAATTCACTCAGAGAGCAGCAAAGAGAAGTAGCTCTGTCAGTCCAAGTACAGACAGAAGAGAAACAGCAATTAACTCGGACAGTATGGGGACTGAAGGAGGAAAAAGACCACATCTCTAAAGCTCTGGCTGACCTTAAACAAGAGAAAGAGCAGCTGAGCAGGGCAGTCTGTGGGCTGAGAGATGAAAGAGAACACTTTAAAAGGTCCATAAACGGCCAAAAAGAGGAGAAAGAGCAGCTAACCAAGTCTTTATCTGCACTTGAAAGAGATAAAGGGGCAATATTAGAATTTCTCTCAAGTGGAAAAGAAGAGCGAGAGGAAATAATGAAGTCACTGCAGAGTTTACAGACAGAAAGCGACCAGTTAAGCCAGACAGTGCTGTGTCTGAAACAAGAGAGAGACAAACTAACCGATTCTCTTAAGTGTCTGAAGGAAAAGAGAGACCAGGAGCAAATATCTCACAGTTTAAAGGAAGAACACGACAGGTTGATGAAGTCAGTAAGCAGCTTGGAGGAAGAAAAAAGAAGAACTGAACATTCAGTCCGTTGTTTGAAACAAGCAGAAGAGCAGATAATGCAGGTAATTCAAGACCTTAGGGAGGAAAGAGACAGCCTACAAGGTCTCAGCATCCAAAAACAAACAGAGGAGAGGAATCAAAAGCAGCAGATGTTGAACTCAAGCAGCGCTGGTTTGACGAAGAAGAGTGAGAATCCTGCTGAGACTGCAGATTATGCTACACAAAGATGCCAGACTAATAACCGTGGTGGAAACTTAATACAGGTATTGAGAATGGAGTGCATTTGTGCATGATGTCAGGGCCTGTTGTGTCAGTTTACAGAATATCCTTTCAGTATCATGGCATGATTTTTGAGGCATCAAATTTTTTGATTTATAGCAGGAAGAAAATGATCTGATGAGAGAGATTGAAACTTTGGGAGCAGAGCTAAATAGGTCACGGGAGGAAATGGACAAGAGCCGTGCAGAGGTGGGTTTAAGCGAGTTTGTTATTAGTTTAGAAAAATTGTATTATGCAGATTTTTTTCATCCTTCTTGTCATCATATTATTTTCTTAGAGAGCCATAATATATGTTTCAAAACCACACTTTCCTCATTTTGTATATATCTTCAGATCAAGAGGCTTCAGGGTGAACTGCGTCATTCAGAAACGAGGAGGGAGGAGGTGGAGAGAAAGGCGAGCCAAGCAGCTGAAAACGCGATGAAGCTCACAGATGTTGAAAATCAGATGGAAGAAATCAAGAAGGAAAATTACAACCTCACAACCCAGGTATTCAACTAGATTTACAGATACAGTCAAAATGATACCAGCCCCTAAATCTGCAACATGTTCTACATGTTAAAAAAGTGCAAAACTTATATAATTAGTGTAAGAAGATTTGATTTTCGAACATAACTGGTTGAGTCTCCAAGGACATTTCAAGATTGGTTGACTGGATTGTTGGAAAACGTATTGATCACAGGGCTTTAATTTTACGCGCTTCAATAGAAAAACAAAATGCCAGTAACAGTGAAGTTTACCAGTTCCTGCAGCCACAAAGCATCTCCACAACAGGAGCGGCTTACTTTATACTTCTTAAAACAGGCACACTGGACTTAATTTTTAAGAAATAGAGTTTAATCACACCATAAAGAAAACCCCCCAGAGCTTTAAAGTCCTATTTACATTTTGTCTTGCACATTCGAGTCGACTTTTATGTTCTTTTTGGTTTAGATTGGAGTGTGCTGAAGTTTCCAAAGTTTACACCTTTGCCTTTCAAGTCTACTCATTTATAGTCTTTGAGGATACTTTTATTCTCGCCTCCTTCTAGCCCTTCTTCTAAGTCCTTCACAGAAATAGTCGTTTTTCTCACCTGCTGTTTTCAAACATCCCTTCAAAGAAAAGCTGTTCTTTCTTTTGCACCTTTTTCCAAGTGTGTGTCTTTGCCTCGAACTCTGTCCCTCCTCTTTGTTACTCATCTTAAACCCACACATGCAACAATTATATTGGCTTCACAGTTGAATCAAATATAGTTGTATTAGAGTTCCCAGAAGCTTAATTGGGTTTCACCACCAATTGGTGAAATGATTAAAAAGCAGAGTTCAGGTACTGCAGGTGTTGAATAATTTAGACGTGGCTGTACTACATGAAAATCCATCAAGAATTTTAATCATTCAGTGTGTTTTTTGTCTCTGAGGCCTTTCAGCTAATTTTGTACACAAAGTTTAAGCGTTAGACCTAAAGAGCAGCTGTCTCTGCAGGTGAAGGAGCTGCAGAACAAACTGACAGGCCTGCTCCGGGAGAAGACTGACATGCTGTCACTCAAGGCTCAAACAGAGGAGCGATATAACATCCTCACAGCTCAGCTCAAAGCCAAGGTAAGAATGCCAAAATGCCTTTGTTATTTGGATTCTTATACATCATAAAATACTTCTAAGTGGCCGTATGTGTTGAACAAATTAGCGTTAAACTTAAATCATTATCATGATGCTGATATGTTGCACTAGACTGTAATACACTGACACATTCTAATTCTTGGCTGGAGACAGTTGTACTCATAAGTCGTCTGTGTGTGTGTTGATGTGATGTGTGTGTGTAAAACCCCACAGACTGTTGCTCTAGAGGAGCTGAACTCGGAGTATATAGCTCTGAAAAGAGGACAAGGCAGCAGGGATGACGTTAATACTGTTCTTGTCTCACTCAGGGCACGTTACAATGACATCAGAGCTAAGGTGGGTCAGCTGTAGTTTTGCATCTAAGTTTAAGTAATAAACTGTTCTCTCTTTATACTTAATGAACAATTGTCATGTTTAAAATTTTACTTATTTGTAGTATGATGCGCTGCTGAAAAGGAAAAGCCAGACAGACTTGGATATACCGCCTTTAAAGGTGAGGAAATAAAGACTAGATTTATGTTCAGGTTCTGCTCAACAGATTTTAGTGGTTCGTTCTGACTGTCAGGTATTTTGTCCAATAACAGGCCAAGCTGTCTTGCCTAGTGGTGAAGTGTCAGGAGAGGAACAGCTTATTAGATCAGATGATGAAGATCTTGCAGAGACAAGGCTGTATGAACCCCTACCTCACACAGCAGGTCGAGCATCTGCTCAGCGATGCCGCTCTGCAGGAGTACACTGCAGCATTCACATTGGAAAATAACACAAAGACCTGGGATTACGCTAGTGGGTTTACTCCTGAATTTAGTTCAAAATATAAAAGCTGCACCAGTAAATTCATAACTGATCGGACCTGCCCCGTTGTATCCACCTCTGTAAAAAAGCATCAACAAACTGGAGTCACACCTGAAGCTGGAGTAGAGGGCAGAGGGAAAGAAATTTCCATAGTTTCCACCGAATCTTCAGGAAATCATCAAGACTGCGGTAGTGAATTCACACCTGTACTCACAGGATCGCTAAAGAAAGACGCCAACTCATCTGTGCCATCCTCACCAGTGCAAGAGCAAGCCACCGCCCAGGCGTCAGCGTCACCTGCTCTTCCACCAAATGAGCGAGAAATCACTGATACAGTGCCGGTGAGGCAATGCAAATAAATATAATTAATAAAAGCTTATTTTAAAACCTTAGTTTGTAATATTTTTTATAAAAAAAGAACATAACCTCAGTTCCAGATTTCTGTGTTATGTTATTTATTGTATGTTTTCTGCCAGGCCTGCATTTATTCTCACTTCACTGCTTTACAGAAAAGTGTGTCTGTCTTATGTTTTTACAGTGAAAGATAATTTTTATAGAGCAAAAACTCTCTGAAATATTCTTTGTTAGGGAACGCTAACATGACCTCAGTGTGCCAGTGCTTAAATTATCAAACAAAGACTGTACTTTACATTAGAAATTTTAGACTCAGTGAAAGTCTAAGACAGTCTATTCTCGATCCAGGCACAGCTGTCTCCTTCTGCCGGTGGACCGCCCCAAGGAGCCAGTCAACCAGAGAAATTAGTGTTTCATCATCCGGAGATAAAGAAAGAGAAGTCCTCCCTCTGTGCCACCAGTGTGACTGGATACTTGTTGAGTCCTACCATTCCCTCCTCTGTCTCCTTTGCCAGTCCAAAGAGGAGGTTGAGTAGTCCTGAGAAGATCCTTAACCTCCACGAACAGCTACAGAAGACCCTGAGGAGCAGCTTTGAGGTACACTTAGGAGTTTTCTAACATAGAGTAACAAAAATATAGGTTAGTGCTGAATTATACAGAAAGGTTGATATAGATTTTTACTTTTTTCTGATATGAAATAAAAGCCACTCTAATCTACAATTTGTCCTTTGAAGTTTCACTGACTTAGAAGTTATTTCCACGTAAAGTAAGGTAGGTCAAATCCAATCAGATCTTATATATCTAATGAATTCTAATATCTGTCTCCATCCCAAGGCTCCAAAGAGCAGAGGAAGAGGACAGGACCCCAGGAGGAGTCCATCACTGTCAGCTCCTGCAGACCTGAACAAAGCCTCTCAGACTAAGACGCTGAGCTTGAGTTTCAATAATGCACAGATCAACTCTCTCACAGTCACCACAGCTATGAGCCAAGCTCCACACACTCCAGTAGTAACAACTAAACCAGTTGCCGCTAACAAGTCACCAACACTTTTTGAAGCAGTTGCATCTAGATCAGTTAATGCAACCTTCAGTCCCAGCATCTTTACTAACCATCACCTTAAAGGGGACACATCTGCTCTTTCTAGCTCTTCTAACTTTACTCTTTTCACCCCGGCTGCAAATAATGTCAAATCCATTTTAAGTAATGGCACTAATGAAACATTATCCTCAAAAATTACAAAGAAAATCACTGCAATCCCTGATGTATCCTATGCCGCGCATAAAGCTTCTCTACAGAGGGTTGCTACTTTTGACTCTGCTGTTACTAATCCAAAAGCCACTTCCTCAGATCCAACTGCCTCTCAAATATCAACTGCCCCTGAAGTTACAACTTTCAACATGACTTCTAAAATGGATGGTGCTATCCCTGAAGTTTCTCAGTCCAGTCAGCTGTCTCACTGCTCTCCTGAGAGATCGAACAAGTTTGCCACAACATTCACTCGTTTAGGAAAAAGACCAAAGCCAGGTACTGTTCATACCACTTGGTTTAGTAAACTAATAGTAAATTCTGGATATATTAAGTCCTGCTATCTTTGTTTGTTTTGGTGTGGTTTAGTAATAACTAGGGAATAATAAAAGCAGCAGAGAGCATAACTGTACTTGACTTTTCTGTGTCCAATCCCCTCCAGAAGCTCCAGCCGAGGTTCGTTCCATTGAGGTCATCAAAACAGTGGGTCAGAGCAACCTTATGATTGGCTGGGAGAGACCACCACTCGATGAGCTGGGATGCAGTAATGGCACGTTTGTGTATGGCTATAGGGTAGGTAAACAATACATAGGATTATCTTCGTTTGTATGTGTTTTTCTTGTACTCATTATGTCTTGTTATCTCTCAGGTGTATGTTGATGGGGACTTTCACAAATCTGTCATGAGCTCAGCATGCACCAAGGTATCAACAGCTGTACAAAATCCATCCTGTCATGATAAATAAGAAAATCAAAGTATGAATGAAAGAAGGGCACACAAAGTAAGTCTTGTTTCTGTCTGTGCAGTGTATTCTTGAAAATATCGACCTGAGTGTCCCTGTCCACATCAGTGTGCAGACACTGGGATCTAATGGACTTAGTTCAGATAGTGTACACACCGTGTTTCGGACCTCAGTTAGAACTGAGCCACAGTGAAGCCACAGTGAAGCCACAGAGACGTTCAGATCAGCAGGTTGGTCCAAAGATTATTATACCAGTTTTCACCAGGTTTGCATATTAATATGTTTAGTGTTTTTTTTATTTATTTTTTTGAATCTCTGTAGAAATACTGCAGATTCCCAGTGAGTTTGTGCCATTAGTGATTGTGATTGTTGCATGCACTATAGCTGCATTTGTAACATAATTATGTACACTGCTAAAAAAAAATGAAAGCAAATCACTTTGAAAACACATTAGATCCTAATGATCTGGACCACGTCCGGTGTTCTACTGGATGCTGGTCAGGTGAGCATGGGAAAGTCAGTGGTATCAGTTCCTTCATCCTCTAGGAACTGCTCGTATACTTCCACCACACGAGACATGATTGTGCACCAGGGGAACCCAGGACCAACTGCACAAGCGTAGGATATGACAATAGGTCCAAAGATTTCATCCTGATATGGAATCGCAGTCAGGATGCTGTTGCTTAGCCTTTAGATGTGTGTGTGTCCCTCCCCAGATATGGCTCCCCAGACCATCACTGACCACAGCTTAATGCAATACTCAAAAACAGTCAGAAAAGATGAGGGAAAAACGTCAGTGACCTCAACCTATAAAACCATTCCTGTTTTGGATGCTGCCTCATTGTTGTGCCTCTAGTGCACCAGCTGAAACTGATTAACAGCCCCACTGCTACTTAACTGACTAGAAGTTTAAATTGACTTGATGATACACTCTAATAAAAAAGTGTTCCTTTAATTTTTTTTTGAGCAGTATATACATATTTTCATTTTATCGTGTTACAGCGTTCACATTTGAAGAACAACAAAATTCAATTAAAAGTATTTTCTCCTGTGTCCTGCGTGTTGCCGCAATATACCACTAAAAAGACTGTACTGTGATAATCTAATTTCTTTCTGTCCTGCGTGTCCTGCGTGTGTGTGTGTCTGTCCTTCAGCACAGAAACATCTATATCTGCAGGCCTCTGAGGGAGCGCCCTCACCTCCGCCTCGACTGAGACACAGTCACACTGCTGGATAACCGCTCCACGTCAGGCTCAGGTCAACCAATCAGAAAAAACTCCTCTCACACGGTTATTGCCAGCCTATGATCATGCGGTGACCTGTGGTCGGCCACTAAACCTCGAAATGATGAACTAAAGATGTCATACAAAATACTGTGTAAGATCCTTGCCTCGGCTCTCAGAGTTAATGTGCATGTAAAAGCAGGTCGATCCTCATTGGAGGACCTTTCTGTTTTACAGTCTCATCTGCTGGACTTCTTAAACGAGCGAGACGTTGTGCTTGCCGGTCCACACGATTGCCAGTTTTCTCATGAAAAACTGCTAAGTGCAAATGTTTATGAAGCCAAGCTGAATCATACTGTAAAACGCTGCCTGTGACACCAACATGTACTAACACTGGTCAAACAAGACATAAAAATGACAAAGGGATGTCTGCTTCTGCTGCACTTTTACACTGTGTTAAACACAGGGAGATAACGTGTCACACTGCTTGTCATATTACTGTCTCTGTGGACTGTGGACCTGAGCAGCTGCCTAAAGGGACGTGAAGTATTTGAAAAGCCTTTTTGACAGCAACACACACTGTAAAATGTGCTGACACAACCTTGTACACAAAGTTCACAGTACTTGATTTTTACACACGAAGCCAAATATTTGAAAAGATGTTTCACTCCAAAGACTTCTCTGTTTCCTTCTCCTCATAGGTCTACAGGACTTCTTTAATCACAGACGGCAGATGTTGTTTAAGTTTGAAAAATTTGCACACAATCAGTATTGAAATCTAGAAGAAGAAATTTTAAAGAAGAGATTATCACTGATATTTTTTTGTAGAGATTATAAAAAAATATGCCAATATACCACACACTGTATGTCTTTTTGTATGAGTGACACTTTCATACCTAATAGATGTCATGTTTGCACGCTTGCATTATTTTATTTTTTTTAAATTATAACACGCTATGTTCTTTTTACTATTAACTGTATGTACGGGTGCAGAGTGATCATGGTGCAGCAAAGGTATTTTTCTATCAGTAATTGATAATATTGTTTTCCCATTGATTCCTTACAGCTGTGCAGAGAATAAATGTTTATATGCAGTCTATCTTTACTCTCTGTCTGTCTGTGCATGTGCAGTTTTGGTTTTAGAATTCAAAAGGTATGACACATCTCTGAATTAAGCAATTTCCAGTTTCTCTGTGGTAAATTGAAGTCTTTAACGCTCCCTTAGTGGCTGGCAGTTAAATTAAATAAGCCATTAAAAAACCTACTGGATTAATACAAGAGATATTTTGGAGCTATGTGATTATTCCAGAACAGCAAGCTTCACTGATCGGGTGTGCAGTAATCTTTCCACGCAGTCAACACTAGATGGCAGGCACTGAAACCATCATTGTGTTGGCTAAGGTGCTCTTACTCTGTGATTGTGTGTATAAATCTGACACCTTTCACCAGAGGTTTAATGGAGTGGATGATGCTGATGTGCACACAGAGAAAGGCTGAAGTTGCCTGACACATCTCACCGCTTTCCTTGTTCATTACAATCCAGGCACAACACCAAAAAGCGAAGAAGCATTTAGGGGCAGCAAGGTGCCAAATATTCACCTGCTGTAGTCGGCAGATTTGGAAGCTCCTCTGAGAATGTCATCGCTCATGCTCAGCAGAAATAGTGCTAGGTGAAGGGAGGTGGGGGGACTGTGTCTTTGTTTGCACTGAGTGAATGGAGCAGTGACTTAAAAAACATTTCTACCTAGGGTAAGTTTAAAACTTGTGTTTTTATATTTATTTCACCTTTTAGGTCATACTTCTTTTTATTAATTTCACACGCTCATTTTTAATTTCCCTGTTGGGAAATGGGTCTATCCTTACTTTGAGGTAAATCACATAATTTGAGGGCAGACTATGATCAGCTGGCTTTTATTGTTGATTAAGCCAACTGCATTTTATATCATCCTCATCCAGTGTAATACTAGAAACCAAAGAGCATATTTAACTTACAGTCTTTAAGTTATAGTCTTTAACCTAACAATGCAGCAAGCATGGACAACACAGTCTGCTCCGTGCCAGTCTAAATTAGTACAACACTGAAATACTTTTCCATAATACTGCAAGCTATTCCTGCACTAATAAAACCTTTGAATAACTCGATATCATTCACTGAAGAAGGCATTTCTAGACATCGTTGAATGTTCTTCTCCATGTACTCCAGCTTCCTCCCAAAGACGTGCTTTTTAGATTAACTGGTGCTTTTGAATTGGCTGTAGGTGTGAATGGTTGTCTGTTTCTAGCAGTTAGCCCTGTAATTGAATGTTGACCTGTCCAGAGAGTCCTTCCACCCACCCTGAATTAAATAAGCAGTTAGGAAGATGAATGGAAAGCACATTTTAGGAATTTCTTGAAATGTGATAACCTTGTTGAGGCAATTTTCAGTTTTCTATAAGAAGTAGGAATGTTAGTTACAGACCTAAATGTTTTAGATATTGATATGTTTCGTATGAAACCTAATTATTTTTAACTGCTTATCAAACTTGGGAGGGTGTGGATGGTTTTGGGGGGTGGTTGCTTCCTGCCCAAGCTATCACAGAGTGCAGGGCCAGGTACACAGGTGTGGTGTATGAACAATATAACAATAATGAGTAATTATAGCACAATACAACTTCGATAATTTGAAAGTGGTGAGTGGAAATGCAATTGGGGCTTGTGTACAGTTTAAGTTTGCAGAATGCAAGAAGGTTTTGTTTCCATGCATAAAACCAGAATTCATATCATTCAGCTGATATCATTTTTCTTCAGAGAATACTAGGGGGCGTATTTTCTGTATTGCATGTTAGTCCCATTGCAGTTGCCTCCTAGATGGCTGGTTTTGACTCAACTCCTAGACAAATGTGGTCTCCTGAAGTCCTGCAGTGCACCAACTAAAGGAGCTTAAATGGAAACTGCATTGCAGATACTTTTACACAACTTGCCTTTAAATTAAAGAAGCTGGGCTGGACCCACAGGGCTGCCCATACCCTCTCCAGGGAGACTCACCTTAATTATTAATACATTCTCCAACATACATGATGCAAAGGCTCAGAGTAGTGGCGTGGGCCTATGGTCGTATTTACGTGAGATCTCTGTTGATCCATTCTTAACGAAGCCCACCTCAGCACTGACTCTTCCCATGGAGGCCAACATGGGGTTTACAGAGATGGAATGGTGGAGAGAGATGGATGAAGAAAGAGGAACTACAGATTAAAAAGTGTGAATGCACAACTTGTCTCAGGGGTGTCAATATCAGAGACAGCTGGGCTCAAGAATATTCTGTAGTGATGCTTAAAGACACATCTGGAGCTTTCTCTGTGTATTTGTGTGTGTGTGTGTGTGTCAGAGTGTGAGAGAGAGAGCTCTGCAGGGGATATTTCCTTTTTGCAGGACTGTGTCTGTACATAAGTGTGTCCTAAGCTGTGCATGTGTATGTGCTGTGATCCTGACAAGCAGTTGTCATCAGCAGAATGTCTTGAGGGGGGTTTCTTGGAAATGGAGCCAAAGAAAAGAAAGAGGAGAGCAGGGATGGTGTGTTGAGGTTGTAATTTCACCCAGAGGGGACGTTGTCACTCCATAACTGCCAC